GAGCCATCTCTCCAGCTCCCCAAAAAGTAATTTCAGGTTAACAAGTCAGAAGCTAGGGCACAGACATCTCCATAGCCCATCACCTATTTATGCTGCCAACTTCTAGGAGAGTATTCAGATGGCTTGGCTGCCATGGATGAAGGCAATTTAGAGTCCTTGCAAAGACTAGCTGTAGAACTACACTGATCTTCTGGTTCTGCCTCCCAGTTTCTGGGACTTAAACTACCACAACCAGCTACAAATTCCTAATTACATCTGCAAAGACCCTTGTTTTGAGGTCACATTTAGGTTTCTGGTACAGATTAATTCTCCCCTCCCCCATCATTTAACCATTTAATGCCACGAGAAGACAACAACTGCCTTGATATTTTTCATTGTCAATGTTAGACAAGGTGGGGAAAGTACAGAAGGACAGAAGACCCAACTTCTTAGCAAGGGTTAGGGAATTGAGCAGATGTACAGGAGACACCAAAGGTTCTGTAGGACTGGGGTGTGTGTGTGTGTGTGTGTGTGTGTGTGTGTGTTTTGGAACACTTGCCTACACAATCCCCATAACTACAAAACCATTGTTCTGATTAGAAGCAGAATGTTTTGTGCTTAGAAACTACTTCTGGAAGGTTATTGATTTTTCTTCCTGCTTTACTTTGAACCCCCTGAGAAGAGAATTTACAAAGTGAGCTTCATAGACCTTTAGTCAGCACCATGTGTGGAATATGTTGTGAATGTTGTGTGTTAAGATACTATCTGAAAAAAAAAAAAAAAAAAAAACATGTGAAGTGATCAAATGGAAACAAAAGGAAAACTTAATTCAGTTCTGAACGTAGCTGTGACTTCTGTTTTGTGTGTCTCTATTTCAGTTCACTGCCACCATCCATTTACAACTCAATTCTGTGAAAACAGGACACTTCTGAGGAGTAGACAACTGCACCAATAAAAGGATGTGTTTGCATTTGGAGATTCTGCCCCTAACCCTCTCTCCCCCCCCCCCCCGTATTCTATAAAACTGATTGTTCTATGCTATAGATTTTCAGTAAAAGAATGCATTTTAGGCATAAAACAATATGTGTGGTCTATAGTTGTGTGGCTGTTTTATTCAAGGAGAAATGGTATTTCCCATATAACTTATCCTACTTCTGCACACTGAAAAACCAGTAAGGTAACTTTTAGCCATGGGTTCCCTTTATTTTCTGCCTGAAATTAATATTACTTGTTAGATTCAACTACCTTTTTTTTTTTCTTTTGTTTTTGTTTTGTTTTTGTTTTTTGAGAAAGGGTTTCTCTGTAGGTTTGGAGCCTGCCCTGGAACTAGCTCTTGTAGACCAGGCTGGGCTCGAACTCACAGAAATCCACCTGCCTCTGCCTAGTGCTGGTATTAAAGGTGTGTACCGGCAGACTCAACTATCTTACTTTGCTTTTGCTGTTGTTGCTTTTATTTTGTTTTGTTGTTTTTTGAGACCAGGTCTCACTATGTAGCCTGCTGGTCTGGAACTTGTTACATGCATCAGGCTGGCCTGAAACTCAACTGAGCTCTGCTTCCTTCTGCCTCCTGAGTGCTGGGATTACAAGCCTGGGCCAACACACCCAGCTAGATCAACTAAGTTGCTTTTCAAACTTCTGTTTGCAAGGGGCTTAGATTTTGTGAGGAAGAGCTGTAAACATAATCAGAAGTAATGTAAATACTTCTATATGCCACCTCAGTGGTTACAGCAGCAGTTCTCAACCTGTGGGTTAAGACGCCTTTGTGGGTGGAATGATCCTTGTGACCTAACACCATTGGAAAATACAGGTACTTACAATTCATAACAGCAGCAAAATTACAGTTATGAAGTAGCAGTAAAAATCATTTTATGGGATAACCACAACATGAGAAACTGTATTCGAGCATTAGGAAGGTTGAGAACCACTGAGTTACAGGGTATGTCATACTTGTTTCTCTTAGCCTTTTATCTTTCACCTTCCCTTGCTGAAATATTTTAAAAAGCTAAGTCCGTGTCATTCTGTCTGTCTCTTTTTATTTGGGGCAGTTCCTCTTCTTTTTGTTTTATGTTATGAACTCATCCCAGGAGCTGGGTCCTGGTCCTGTGACTCTACATTTGGGCTTTGTCTGCTTCTTCATCTCATGGTGCAGTTTGTTTGATATTCTCTGTATCACATTCAACACTGAATCACACTTAGAGGCTTTATGTATCTATCTACTCCACTTCTGGTATTGCTAAAAGACCATTGTGATAGTCACAGTATAAAGCATTTTATCTGTGGTGTAATGATGACTTTTTTTTACTCTGCTGTCTCTTCTACATTTGTTAGCAAGAATTTTGTGAGATATTTATCTCATCAAAGGGCTTTTTAGGGTGACCACTTTATATGAGAGGCTGCTACTGTAATTTTATACTGGTATACACTTGGTAAAAATAAGTTTAATGAGATAAGGAAGGGAATTGAACTGTTTGACTTGAGGATTTAATCTTTCTCTTAGTGGCGCTACCTTTGCTTGACTACCATAACAAGATGGGAATTATTTCTTTTAAAATTTACATGAACTTTAATACCTTTGCAAGCAAAAGGTGGAAATATATGAAAGCCTGTTTTAATCAAGCAATGGAAGGAAAAGCTTACTAGGTTAGGATACCAAACCCACCAAAAGTCGATTTGACCCAGTCCTTCCTCAGATGCAACTGAAACTCTCATTCCACTCATTCTTCATGGGCTGCTTTTTGTGTGAATGTTGCTAAGTTCCCAAGAAATAGTGAATCTGGAATAAAAAACAAGATAAACACCACAGATTACATTGGTTTTAAATTTATTTCCTCTATCATGAAAAACAATGATACTTACATTTATTTCTTCTTCCTTTTCCTTTTATTCTACACATCTGGGATTAAATATGGCTTTTAGACCTACTTTTTTTTTTTCCTCGAGACAGGGTTTCTTTGTGTAGCTTTGGAGCCTCTCCTGGCACTCATTCTGTAGACCAGGCTGGCCTTGAACTCATGGAGATCCACCTGCCTCTGCCTCCCAAATGCTGGGATTAAAGGTGTAGCGAACACTTTTAATCCCAGCTCTGGGGTGGGGGTGGGCAGAGGCAGATGGATCTTTGTGAGTACCAGGACATCTGTTAAACAGAGAAACCCTGTCTAGAAAACAAACCAGGAGAAATGATGGAAGAACTCATTAGCATAAAGTTAAAAACAAAACAAAACAAAAAAAAGTATGCGCCATCACTGCCCAGCATTTCCTGATACTTCACATTCATTTGATAAATTCAGAGAAAGCCTCACTTGTTTTGTCCTTGTTCTCAGGGTTTCCTTAATTTCAAAGGGAAGTTAAACAAATTAGGGTTTTTAGCTTAGTAACTATCTCTAGATAATCTCTAATTATACTGTTTGAGAAGGTCATTAAAAGTATGTGCTAGTATGATTTCTCCATAGATGAGCCTTTGCTGTGTTATATTGTTTACTTTAAAAGGATTAGTACTGTAGTGTGGTCTCCTAAAACTGAAGTACACCATTATAAAGGGAGAGATGCCTTAAAAGACCATTACAGAAATCCACAACTGATCACAATTCAGAGAACAACTGATGGAAGAGTACCCAGCCCCAGGTGATATACCTGCAACAAACTCCAGTACCGAAGGCTCAGGGAAGCTCATGGAAGAGGGGCAGTGATGGGAGATGTCATTCTGTAAATATGTTTCTCATATTGGTTAATGAATAAAGCCCTGTTGGCCAATAGGAAAGCAAGACAGGTGGGACTAGGAGACAAAGAGGATTTTGGGAGAGGTAGGAAGAGATTCAACATGTAGGACCAAGAGAACAGAACTCTGTACCCTCTCTCCTGTAAGATAATGACACGTGAAAACACTTAGATTGATAGAAATGGGTTAATAGTTAAGACAGAGCTAGCCAATAAGAAACACTAATAACAGGCCAACAGCTTTATATCTAATATAGCGTCTCTGTGTGTTATTTGGGACTGGCGCGGCTGTGGGACCAGGCTGACAGGAAAACTGCTCCAAACAGGGCAGAAAGATTATAAAGCTAGAGAATCAGCAAGCTGCACAGTTGTCTCCTGGAAATGATAGGGAAGCTACACTAGTGATACCTGAACAGTGTGGCTGCCTAAACAATACCTGAACAACGACAACACCAATAGACAACCTAATATGAAAGGGGGTAGCCTGTAGTCACTGCTGAGGGAGGGAGAATGAGTCATCCCTGGGATGAGCCCCCAATTGGTTATCCAATACCAAATGGTCAGCCCTGAAATCATGTACATACAAGCAACTCAGCAAGTCATGTGTGTGTGTGTGTGTGTGTGTGTGTGTGTGTAAATAAAGGAAAAGAGGCCATCAAATTAAGAGATAGCAAAAGGGGATGTGGGAGGTATTGTAGAGTGAAGACCAAAGGAGAAATAATGTAACTATATTTTAATTTTTTTAATTGAAAAAAAAAAGACTATACAAGAACTGGGGAGTATTAGTAGAGTACTTGTTTAACATGCATGAGGCCCTCCCTGTTCAAAACTCCCCTCACTCTAGCCCATAGATAAAATCAGCATAATTGTTTTTAATCAGGTGATCAAGCATTACAGGTAATCATTGTTCCTCATCTCAGCCAAAGTAATCTAGTGCTGAAAATGAACTTTCTACTTGCTGAGTTCAACAGTTACTTTAGAATAACCACAGTGTGCAAGTCACTGTGCCTAGCTAGGCACTAAGCAGAGGGCTCATTGCATGGGTTTAGATAAGATGCACTTCCTTTCTGTAAAGAGTCCTGGAAATTGTGTCACCACTTTGTTGCCTCATGTCCTTGCCTTCTTTTGATGCAACCAGAGCCCACAAGGTGTGGACCCCACGGTCCAGTCTTTGCCCTGTAATTATTTCTTATGATGAGGAGGCCAATAAGACAGTGCACCACAATACTTAGCAGTTCTGACTCCTGGAGTCTGAGCAAAGTTGGTACATTTTCACAACAAACAAGTGTAATCTTTTGTCTTTTTAGGATAGAGATGTCAATTGGGCCAATGAGATGACTTAGCAGATAAAGGCACTTGCCACCAAGACTTGAAAACATCCCAGAACCCACAAGGTAAAGAAGAGACCCAACTGCTTCAAGTTATCCTCTGACCTTGACATAACATCCCAGTGTACACATGCCCCTTCCCGTACACAGTAAATAAATAAGCAGTTCATAAATTTTAATGACTTAATATAAAAAAAATATTCACATTGTTCCATTGAACATTCTACTTTGGTTTACTATCTTTATTCATGTCTCTTATCTTTTATATGCCAGGTATCATCTAGTCTGAATTTATAAATGGATTACTCCTTTATCTGATCCACAGTGTTACAGTTTAATTCAAAATTTATTAGATTTGCCAGTTGTCATTTTAATATTCTTTTCCTGACATTTTTCATATGATCTGACTGAAAAGTTCCTGTAAAACTTAAAACAGGAACTTCTTTGGCATCTTAGTATTTTCCACAAGCTTACTTTCTATAAATACAGTGAAATCAAGTAGAACTTGCATTTGAGTTTTTATTAGCTAATTCCCAACTCTCCTAAAAGTCAAACATACATTTTTTGGGGGTGGGGCAGTAAATGCCATTGATATTTTTTTGAAAACAGAAAAAAGCAGAGTGATACAGAAACAGCATATAGTAGTTGGGCAAGTTTTGGCCTTACTCATTAACTGTGTTCTTAATCACAGATGGAAGTAATTACAATTAAATACTTGAATTACTGTGAATGTAATTTAGTTCCTTTAACAAAGTACCGTCCTAATAATTATAGGGCTAGTCCATTGGATGGAATGAACACAAAACAAATAGTCTTTGCAAATAATATGACTATCTTTGCCTGCCTGGTGAAATGTGCCTGATTAGAGGTTTCCCTCCAGTGATTGTAACATGGTCTGAAAAATTGTTCCTACTTCATTCAGTTGGTATTTTTTCACTTTTTAGGAGGCATATTTTTCCATATACATGAAATAATGTGAGACTCTGGGTTTATTGTACACAAAACTGTTGCAACACTGTCATTTTTGTTTTTGTTTCCCTCCTTTGTAACTGGTTTTTCTGTTCATTGTTCTGCATAACTTAGACATTATTGACATAATTTCTAGGCTTACACACTACATTTTTAGTTATTGAGTTTCATGAGAGGAAAACTTAAATAAATGTTTTATTTTGAACAGACAGCTGTTGTGTATGACAGGCTGAGTATCCCTAATCTTAAAATCTGAAAGACTCCAAAAGTTGAGGCTTTTTGAGCATTAACAAGTCCTAATTTGTCTAGTTACAGTCACAGAGTAGATACTATAAAAATTGAATAAACAGCTTTAGCTGTATGTATTCAATATATAGAAATACAAATGACTTTGTTTAGACTTGTGTCCTATCCCCAGTATTTCATGTTATATACCTACACAGAGAGGGGATGGGCAGATTACTCCAGAATCTGAAAAAAAGGCTTGATACGATTCTTGTACCAATCATTTCAGATAAATGATATTCAACCTGCAGCACGAATGAGATTTTGGGATCAGGATATATATATATATATCCTGTATGTCAGATAGAGGCAGTTAGATAATTAGTAAATGTATTGCTTGCTGATGGTTCCAGACTACTTCCACTGTCAATGTTAAGATCACATTGTAACATCAAATTTTCTGTGCTCTAATTAGTTATATGTCAGAACATGGGGCTAGGGAATATATATGTATGATTTTAGCAAAAAAGTGTGTTTTTCTGAACTAGAATTAGGATCTGTGATCTGGTTTCCTGAATGTCTGTGAATACAAAATAATTTAAAAATAGTACTAACCTAGATGATAAGTCTATGAGATGGGATCAGCTATCAGTGACAGAAAACTTCCTAAAACAATTATTTTAAAAAGATTGAAAATTGTTTCTTTATGAATGTAAAAGTTGTCACAGGTCTAGTATGAAGAATCATGGAGCAAGGAACCATAATATTAAACACCCCCATTTCTATCTTGTATCCCACCTTCAAGTTATGGGCAACCCCATCCACTTCCTCTATTTGCCATGCTATGAATAGAACCCGGAACTTGTGCATGCTGGGAAAGCCCTGGACCAATGAACTATATTTCCAGGCCTTCTTGAGTAGATTGGCATGGTGTCCGCATTACAGAACATAACGTAAAGAAAGGGATGAAGCATAAAGTAGACGACAGGGAGTGCTTTGATAAGCATGATTTCTAGACACTTTCCTGTGCATCCATTGCAGGTGTTATAACTAAGACGTGGGCAAGTGCAACAGCAAGGAGAGTTGGGAAGTGTAATCACAGGAAAGAAAGGAAGACAGAAATTTCAGGAGACAGGAGAGGAGGGCAAACTATCATTCTCTGCCACAATCTTTGTTGTTGTTGTTGTTGTTGTTGTTATTTGTAAGCATTTTATTTATTTAAATATTTATTGTATGACTGGTTTGCTTACATATATGTCTGCATGCCACATATGTGCCTGATGCCTGTAGAGACCAGAACAAGGGTATTTGATCCCCTGGAACTAGAGTTAGAGATGCTTGTGAGCTGCATGTGGGTGCTAGGACTTGAACTCAGGTCTTTTGGAAGGGCATTCAGTACTCTTAACTGGTAAACCATCTCTCCAGCCCCATGACACTATCTTGTTAATCATAAGAGAAAACCAAGGACATCCTTCATTATATCTCTTCCTCTAAAGAAGGATTCTATATTTCTAATACCTATACCTACTACTGATTCTCTCTCTCTCTCTCTTTCTCTCTCTCTCTCTGGGGGGGGGGGAGACAGGGTTTTTCTGTGTAGCTTTGGAGCCTGTCCTGAAACTCGTGTAGACCAGGCGCTGGCCTGCCTCTGCCTCCCAAGTGCTGGGTTAAAGGTGTACACCACCACCTGGCCTGATTTTCTAAATAGACCTATCTTTTAGAGAAGAAATGCTCCCAACTTAATTGAAATGTCTCTTAATATGTCATTACCATGGCTGAAGAGAGAGTTCAGTGGTTAAAAGTAAGCAGTGCTCTTGCAGAGCATCCAAATTGTGGATGTCATTTGGTTTACAACTGCCTGTAACTCCAACTACAGGGTATCTGGCCTCCATGGACACCTACACTTGTGTATGTACGAATGTGCATGCACATACACACACATGTATTAAGTGTAACAAAAATTTTAAAACGAAAAGAATGTCATTCTCAGATGTGGTGTCTAACCCCTGTAGTCCCACCCAGCATGTGTGACACTGAAGGAGGAGAATACCAAGTTGAGGACAGTTTGTTCTACATCCCAGGTTCCAGGCTACTCAGAGCTATATGGTCCCAAAAATAAAATAAAATACAGAAAGATAAATCATTCCTTTTTCTGTATTTGGGTTATTGTAAAAGAATAGTCTGAAGGATTAATAGAGCTGATGTGATTTATGAGCCAGTCTCTTATGAAATAAAAGTTGTTCACACATTCCATGGAACTCAGTAACTCCTTAAGGAAAATAATTAGTAGGGAATAGACTCAACCAGACAATTAGCTTACTGGGGCATTTACATTTAAGACTTAATCAGTTCTAATCTTGTAGTAGGAGAAACTCAGAATTTTCTAATATATCCATCTGTAAAATCCAAATAATAGTACTTTATGTGACAGTTATAATACCAATAGTGTAAATGTTTTTATTATATAAAGAGAAGAAAGCTTCCAGGACTAATAACATTGCAAGAGCTGACTCTTTAAAAAGCTGTTTAGAGAAGATTGTTCATCATTCTGGAATGATTATCACCTTCTCAGGATGTTTTAAAACATGAAAGCAGAGCCATACTCAACTCACAGGAAAAAAAAAAAAAAAAAAAAAAAAAAAAAAAAAAAAAAAAAACACATTTTATCCCCACCCCATTATCCCGGTAATTCTATAATCTGCCTAAAACCATTTTAAGCGTACACTTAGGCTGTGTTTGTGGCTCAGTACAATGACTCCCTAGCATATAAGAGATCCGGGGTTCATGCCTCAGCGTAATTCTAGAAGACAAAAAGATATTTGGGTGTAGTGCTTAGGATTAATATCTAGAAACTTGAGGTAATTATCCCCAAGTGTCAAAATACAATAAAAAGCAGCCTCAGCCCTGTGGTGGCTCATGCCTTTAGTCCCAGCATTCAGGAGGCAGAGGCAGGTAGATCTCCCAGTTTGAGGCTAGCCAGATACACAGACTGAGTTCTAGAACAGCCTGGGCTACACAGAGAAACCCTGTCTGGAAAAAAACAAAACAACAAAAAGTAGCCTTCATACTTTGGGTTTAAAGAGAGACATTTGAGGATTGCTGAGTTAGTCATGAGCCTCTTAGATGGCTGTTTTAGTCCATCGGTTTTCCTTCTACAAATTAAGGTTCAAAAACAGATATGTTTTTAGCTTATAGAACTTTAGCTATCTAGAACTTGTTTGAAAAAAAAAAGTTCAATTACATACTCTGTCAGTTCACTTTAGAAAGGAATCTGCTTGTGACCCAAAGTAGGCCAGGAAGATGTGACTTAAGCCAAAACGATTGATTGCTAACTGGAAAAGTTTACACTTAACCCCTACCCAAATCAAAACTAACCTTGGTAGCCATGATGAACACTTGCCATTTACCAGGCACATCCCTTGGTAGATGTTGCTGCTATCCTTTTCTGTGGGTAGGAAATGGAGACTTCCCTGTGACTAGCATCCTGGGAGGAAGGATGGTGAAGCTGAAGCCTGGGAAGTCCATGCAAGTCACTAATGTGTCCCTTGCTTGGATTCTGAGTACTACCACGAAGTTTACTCTCATTTACCTCATTCTGCTAATGAATTTCTAAAACATTGGTTACACTATTTTCTGTCTTTTTAAAAGCCTGTACAGTGACAGACTCTTCAATTTATTTGTTTGCCTGTGTTTTACCATTCTAAATGTGGTTATAGTTTATTATTAAACTTTGTTACTGGTTGCCAAATATGCTTTATTTCTTCTAGTACTTTTCCTCTTCAATGATTTGGGTCCTGTGTGGACTCTGAAAAATGAGTATCTTTTCTGGGAATTGAGAACCTACAGGTGAGATGGCAGGACACATTTAGTGT